CACAGAATCGACCTCAGGAAGCACTGAAGGAGGTTATGGAAAAGAGCATGAGGAAATGCCGGAGATGCAGGAAACAAAATCCGTTAGCAACCTATAGTTTTTTAAAGTTCTTTCTGTATTTTCCAAAATTTTATAGCTTTGGAAAATACTTTCCTTAGTGGAGTAAATTTCGTCAAAATTCTTCCTGTAGCTGAAGAAATTTCAGACTACAGCAGTGCGACAAGTTGAGGAAATTGCACGTAAGCGTTTTGTTGCATTTTTATTAATCAAAATTTGCTGTTGATAGAAAAGCCTGCGGGCATTAAAGAGGGCTTGCAACTGCTGAGCCTGACATCCAGCAATATCGGTAACACAGAAATCTCGAGATATTTACAAATGAATGCTTAGCATTTTGTACCGAGTACCCTCGGCTGGCATGGCTCAGTGAGAAGCAATACTGCCGTCATGCTGGTCCAGCGTTCGATCTGCCAGTGGGACTTCCAACCTTTTTGTGATTTGTCCGTTCATTTTGATGGTAGACTGACTGTAGCTGATAAATTGGCGTTGGTACATGCCCGAGAGTCAAACCCATCATCAGTTTGCTCAAGGGAATAATCCGCAACTTCACCAGCGAGTAATAGCTGCTGCCTTGTGCTATCACTCCGTGCCACCTCCCGTGTCTCCCCTCCTCCCTCCCTCATAAGGAGCGAATACAGAGATTTTGAGTAAAAAATACTAATATTTAGTGACAGTTAATTGTAATATTTTGTTAACCAAAACCATGTTCTTATTTAATCAACACCAAAACCGCTGCACTACTGAGGCTCAGTTGTAGCACTGAATAAGAGTGTAGGCGACTTGTTGCAGTGAAACATTCTTGCTCTGTTAAATAATGTTTTTTAATAATATGTATTTTTATTGTACAAAGCTGGTGCAATGAATAAAAACATGTTACTACTGCAATGAGCGAAAACGTGCTCTGTTGCGAGGTCCTTCGTGTGTGTGTGTGTGTGTGTGTGTGTGCTCTGGGACAAGTAAACTTTGTCACCCACTTTCAATCCAGCAACCGGGAAAGGTGAGAGGTTGAAATTTTGGAATGTTTGCTCTATCAATCATAGTTTACACACACCCAGATCTCGCGTAAAAACTCCGAAAATTCGCGAACTTCTTTGGCGGGAAGCAATTTTATGAGAAACAAGATAGAACGAGCAAGAACATTTTTTGTGCCAGTATAAGCTAAAGATTTCAAATTCAGTTATCGTGCACAATTGTACCATGCGTACGGTCACGTCAAATTTCGCAGTTGGCGCAGTGCCAACTCGAAAACTAATTAGAAAACAGTAACTGAAATTTGCTAGAATATTTATCGTCCATGTGGAGAATCGTATACATAAACTCGATTTGCACTTGCGCCAGGACTTAGGGCACTTTATATGTGTTTGTAGCGAAGTGGCTATTTTGCTTACCGAGCAAGCTGCGTCGTTGAATCTTTGCAGGGATATTCAATATTCACGTAATGTCTTAATTCAACTTGTAGGTG